TCCTTCTATCACGTGGTGAAATACTGAACAAACATCCCTCTCCCAATGTTATAATGTTGCTGGAATTTTTATAAGAATCTTCTTAAAACAAAGTAGATCTATATCTTCATTATGATTTAGCTGCAGCTCTTGTTCAGTCACTAACTGTTATTTTTAATCTGACATAAACTAGTAGGATTCCTTTCATATATTTTGAATAGGAGAACAGCTGCCTGCAGAGTCAAAGTCAGTGCTAAAGGGCTGCATGCATTAAACAGCAAATCCCATAAGTTCATCAGCAGTAAAAGCAAATGAATCTACCCACATACCATTATTTCAGTTTTCTTCAGAAACTTTTCTTTTCTTCAGATTTATCCATGGTTGGAGGGGGAGAAAGCTCAGTAAATTGGGGCAGGTTGCAGATATAGGTGTGTTTAGTGACTGATTAGCAGATAAACAGTCAAGTGCTGTGAATTGTGACAGGTCCCAAGCACAGCTTTTAACATTCAGATGAAGGAGATTACATTGGGACAAAGAGAATCTTTTCAGCAGGGTTTCCTATAACATGAGAGCCTGCAGGAAGTTTGTTTAGCAGAGGAATGTAGCGATTTACTTAACTAGCTGATTCACTTAACTATCTAGCACTGCTTCCTGAGTGGAGCTCCGAGCAGATCTGCAGCTGCAGCGCGTGTTTTGAGTGACGGAGCTGCAGCAGAGGGGTTCAAGAGCCACGTGCGGCTCCGGAGCCACGGGTTGTCGACCCCTGCCCTGGGGGAAAGATCCTGAATTAGTGTCCTCTGACACACCTTTGCAAGGAATGTTTGGGATTGCATTCAGTGGTCTCCTCCCACCAGCAGAATGGTGGATAGTGATGGATCAATTTCCCTTTCCCCCTGAAGTCCCTTGTCCTGCCTCATGTGCTCTAGAGAGGTAGGGAATGCTCTAGAGCAGATTTGGGGGTATGTAGGGGATTTGAGGAATCAGAGGCAAATGTCCACTGCGTGAATGAAAAGCTGCTCTTCTTGCACAAACATTGGATGGAGCCCTTTCTGTGGTGATTTCCTGCCTGCTGTATGAAAATACCGTTTCAGTTTAGAGAAAGAAGAAGAATTAGAATAAAGATCATAAAAGGCGTTGAAACAGACAGTCTGGTACAGCTATTGTTTACTTGCAGAAGCTGCAATGCAGACCCAGAGTTACACTGCCTGCAAATCATATTTAACAACTTGTTCCCTCCTCAACATGTTCAGGAGAGCTTTGAGAATCCCCTGGACTGGCAGAAAGACAAACAAGTGAAGCAGTAGTGAACTTATGGCTGTTTGCTAATGTGGGGGTGGGAAGTGGGTTTGAAGAATATCCAGAAGAGGAACTAAAGAAAGGAAACAGGTAGTTATTTGAAATGCAGAGACCTCCTGCAAGATGTGGACTTCAGCTCATGCGTCAAGACTTCATCCATCTGGCTAGAAGTGCCTCCCAATCTCCTAGAGAGATTGGAGAGACAGGGATGTTCACTGCACCAGCAGTTTCTAATATCCCGGTGAACTGGTGGTATTGTGTACAACCCTCCATTTGAAGTGAAAGCTGACAGGTAGGATCCTGCAAAGAACAAGAAAAGCACATCTTAGGGTCAATTCACAGAAGGCCATGTCCACATTAACTCACTGAAACTGACTGGATTTGGGGATGGAGCAATGCTTGCTAGGAAATGCCTTTAACTGATGTAGGGAGGAAGCATAGCATGTTACTGAGAGTCTTGTTTTGAAAAGGCACCTCAAGGTTTTCTGGTTGCTGGGCGGGGCCATAGCAAAGGCACATTGTCGATATTCTTTTGTGGTAAGTCAAGAGCACATTATCCTCATGTTTCTAAAGGCCAATCAAAATGAAACCTGCCATTAGAAGAGAGCAAAGATACTTCACACCCACAGAGACAGCATGCACTCATTTTTGTAAGAGAGGTTAGAGCAAGAGCCTCACACTCTGTCTCCGGGGTCCTGCAAAAGCAATTCTCCATATGACTGTGCTCAAAGAGTGCTTTAAACCTCATGACCACACAGCATTTTAACTGCTTATTCATAAAGCTGGTTTTCACTTTTTTTTTTTTAAGTTCCCTTCCACTTTTCAAATTTGCTGACAGTTTAGAAATAGAGTGTGGTCTAACTGGGCTAGATCAAATGCAGCATAAGACTGCTCAAACACACCTTTAAATATCATGGGACTGGAAAGGGAGAGCTGCTCTGGCAAACCTTAATATCAAGGTGCTCTGGGCTGTATAGGGGTGCCTGGCTCCATTTTTCAATGGCCATTTTAAAAGCAAACATTTCTTATCAGGTACACAAAGAATAAAACAAAAAGTGAGCTGCTTGTGCTATGAATGAGGAATATTTCATACTGTCTATCCCAGTGAAAAGAAGCATGGCATTCTTACTTGTGTTCTCAGGATCTGCTTGGAATTATACCCTGTCATTGCCAAATAGTAATGACCCTCCTTTTGGTATACAGAAACCACTGAGCCTAGGATCCCAACTAGCTAACAGGCTAATGGGTGTGAGAGGTTGCTTTGTTAGCACTCTACTCTAGATTGCCCAGGCAGAAACCAAATATTGAACAAAATGTCTGTCACATCACTCTAGCTGCGGATGGTCTCTTCTCTCCAAGTAGGCCAGAGGCAGGCATCCTGGTGGCCTCCAGAAGTTTTGGCCTACAACTGCCGTACTCTCTGGCCATTGGCCTTGCTGCCTGGGGCTGATGGGAGTTAAAAACATGCTCTAGGCATGGGGACTCCTTTCCTCCTTAGTTAAGAATGAGTGGACATGTGCACCCCTGCAGTTGTGTGTGTGTGTGGGGGGGGGGCGGTTAATCAAGAAGATTTAGCCAATGTTCAACACTTCTTTCTCACAACTTCCAAGTTTTCTGTATATATTTCTTAACAGAGATTCACAAATATGCATATTTAAAATTAATCAGCTTGTTTTTGATACCAGTATGATAAATGGAAGTGCTTGTTTCATTCCTTCTCTAAACATCACATTAATGCTTTTCTTTAATATGAAGCTTGAGACGGGCTTTGCTTGTCAGTGCTTTGGAAAGACTTCCTTTTTTTGCTAGAATAAAAGTGGCAGCAGCTGCCGCTCCACTGCAGCTTGATGAGATTGCTGGTTACACTGTGCATTGCCTTTTGACTGTGATGTGTTTTATGAAACATCTTCTAAAGCTTGTAAGTGACCTCGGGACATAGCTCTCCAACACAAAAGTCTTTCCTGGCCAACTAAAGAAGCATAATTTATGATGCTAATGCTCAGTCGAAGGTATGTGTGTTTGTGCATGTATTTTTTTTTAAAGAATCGGTGCTCTGTAGAATATAGGAGCATAACATGCACCATTTGGCACATTTATGACAAAGGTGCTCTGGTTTTCTTAACTCCACAGTTCTGTGCTGGCAGTTTTTCACATTCTTCAGACAGATGTTTAAATGAATTTAAGAGGACAGAGAAATACTTTTAAAACATCATTCAGAGTTGAGGGTCTCAATATAAAAAGCAACATTATTTCTCTACCAATTCAAATAGGAAAGGGTACCACATGGCCTATCCTGTTTAAAGTCTGGTGTTAGATGATAGAAACAGCAAATGTGGAATTAGCTTTGTGGGACAAGCGCTGTTTAGTATTCAGTTGTGGGCTTGTGTAGTGGGAGGGTGCTGGGAGCACTTTGCAATTCTTCTAGACTTAAAATGTATTCACATCTAGTTTCTGAAAAACATACCAGGAGTTGACTGGCATGCAGAAAATGTGGTTGTTACTGTTCATGCAGAACCCAAGCTGCTGTTGAGACATTAAGATACGTCATGTAAGACCTTCCAAATGTACTCCAAAAATAACGGGTGCAATTCAGGGGAAGCCGGATATGTTGAAAACCAATTGAATTCTATAGGGCCTAAGCCCTACAGGGAGACAGAAATATGATGTTAGCATCAGTGGGCAAAAACATATCCACCGTTATCTTCAGTGCACTGACAGTAATGACTAAACTAGGTAATCACAGCTTCTCTGAAACTGCACAAAGTGTATGCTACCCATGTGTTAATTCCATGTAGGAACTCTGAAGCAGAACTCTGTCATCTGCATGTGTTTTGAAAATGAAAACTGAGGAACAACCATGTGAATTATCTAGAATCTGATGACAGATTTCTTTACATGGCAACAAATATGAACACAACATACCCACAAATGAAGGGCACTTGCCATAGCACAGGAGTCCAAAAAACAAGAAGTTTCATAAAATATATTCACAACTTAGTTGTAGGTCCCACTATCTAAAGGAGACTTTCTGTGAATGGTTTCAGTCACATGGAGATCACAGAATTGCATGAATGACTGACATGGCCTGTCCGTGTGTCTTTTTCATGTAATAGCTGTCATCAGCACCCAGTGTTAGTGAAGTTAGTGGACAATTGTCCTTCCATGTATTTGAAGACCCCTGGGCAACACACCATCAATGGGCACCCTCTCCTACCCAGCCTGTTTCACTGCCAGTGTCACAAGTTGCTTTTGCTGTCCCCTTTCTCATCATTTGCTCCTGCTTGTTGGTTGGACAGGCAGAGCGCCAGTGACCAAGTCGGCAGCGGTATCTACGATTCCTTCTCAGCTTCACCATTGCCTTGGTCGGAGAGGCGAAAAACAATCATACAGCAATGGTAAAGGAAAGGAACACCGAGGAGCCTCATCCAGGTCCCCTGCTGGGTTGCTGGCCCTTAGAAGATGGCCAGCCATGCCTGCCCTCCATGATGACCCATCAGTTGGCTTTTAACAAGTGGGCAATTTGTGGTCCTCCAGGCGTTTTGGCTTACAACTCCCATCAGCCTAGCCAAGTTGACCATTCTAGGTTTATAAGAACACACTGCTGAGCATGGGATTACAGGTAAAGGAACTTCAAATATAAGGGTTTGGGGGGGGGGAAGGGAAGGGGTGTAAAAATTTGTTCCATCATTACTTGCAGAAACAAAATTACTTCCAACCAGAAAGGTGTGCACAGTACTTTCTCATATAAAATGTTTACCTAGGGTTTCCTGAGAATGAAAAATAAAGCACTATCTCATATTTAAGAAATGGATGGGAGTCACTGGTAAAGCAATGAACATTTTATATTTAATTTACATTTTGACATTTTTGCACATAAATAACAATGTAAACCAGTACGTAAACATAAGATAGTTTGTTCTAGCAAAGTAAAAAGCCTGTTAACTTTGGTCAGAGCCTGTTCTTAAAAAAAAAACACTGATTGTTGCTACATTCACATGTAAAGTTCCTAAATGGAGAGGAGAAGATTGGACAGAGAAGCAAATTTTAAAGCTGATGCATGTAAATCTTTGCAAAATTTGTATCAAATACATGAAAGCACTACAGACAATTAATGAAAGCAGGTGTGTGTCCAGTGACAGGAGTAGTGGTACTTTGGATTATCCTAAAGTTAAGTCCTACATTTATGAAACATTGCTACATTTAAATATATTTGCCTCACAATTTATGGGAGTGGAAATGTAATGAACTGTAGTCCTTCCTTCAAAAGCTATAATTAAAGTTTTCCTTGGGCTATTTTAGACCATAGATATGTTTGATGTTTTAAATAAGAAGGCATTATAATTATTTCACTTCTGAAACAGTCTAATTCCTTAAGACTATTATGAGATACAAATATATATACACAGACAGAGTGGAAGAGAATGTAATAATGCTAGTTCTTTTCCCCCGTTACTTATAGGTAATCATGCAACCTTTAAGAGGCAGAAAAAAACTATGGCAGACTTCCTGGACCACTTTAAATACCTCACTCTACTTTTTTAACATTTTATATTGTATTTGTCATGCATTGGTGAGTGAGATCTTTTTTCCCCCATAAAAAAATCTGGGTTGGGTGGTTTTCCCTCTACAAATGAATTTTTTTAATGAGCATATGAGAAGACAGAAGACTCAGCCATGCAATCTTCACAAAATTCTTTGGAGATATTTAAAATAGCATATGATTAAACTTGTTTATGTAACAGTTTTCAGGATCAAGCCTCAGTAAATATTACTGTGCGAATGTTCATTAATCTTTGGCACAGTCTTATGGTTTGGAGGCTGGTATTCCTTTCCTTTGGGAAGGTGAAGTAAGCTATGCAAAATAGGTTTTATTATAAATTGGCTCACAAACTTAAGTGATACAAAAATATATGTGCATGTGCACACATGGTACATTGGCATAAGGATCCTATAAATATACATGTTTTCTTTGCCACACCTTGTATGCTGATATGGACTCTTTGGATTTAGCAAAACAAAAAGGATATACAAAAGAAAAGAAAGAAGAGGAAGAGGAGGAAGAAGAGAATGTGCACGCTTATCTTCTCCTCTGCACATTTTGGTTTGTTCTCTAAAGTAGGAAAGCAGTAGATAAAATAGCATTTTCTACACCACTGGACACACTCAATGAGGTAAATGTTGTTCAGCAATTTTGCAATGCCCTTTGCATCTTTAATTAAATTAACCACAACATGTACTAATACAAATACTGAAAGAAATCTTGAATTATACAAAAGGTGTGTGTGTGTGTGGGGGGGGGAGGATGGGTACACCATGAAAGGACTTTGTTACCAATTTCTGTCCAAGGAAATTGAGTAGATGGAGACAAAAAGAAAAGATGTCCCTTACATCTTTCCTTTAAAAAATCTAGAAATCAGACCCCACCCCCAATAGGACTCACCCAGCAATACCTTCCTTTGTAGGCAGCATCCTTGGGGTATTATATGACATATACTGTATGAACAGTTTGGGAAGGAGGCAAGTAATTTTGTAATACTATTGTTCAACTACTACTTTACAGCTAATTTTGAGGTGGGTGGGAACCCTATTGGACATCCCATTTCTGATAAAGTATTTTAGTTTCCCATTCATCCTAGACATAAAGCATTACAGACCGAAACCACCACCCTCTTCATCTATTTGAACACCAGCATGTCTTTTGGTGCTGTGTAGATTTTAGAGGGTCATCTCATATTTCTTCCTACTTTGTCCAATTAGACAGCACTGTTCCAACTTGAAGGGTTTTTTTTTTTTTTTTTGGAACAAGTATATAACATTTTCCCCTCAGAGTCCTTTCAGTCTTTAGGCTTTGTTAAACTGATGTACAAGAATAAATTCAAAGAATGGCCACAAGACAAGGAAAAAAACACATATTTAAACTTACAATGAATTTTCCTATCATTGTAAATATTTCTATCTATTGCTTTTTGAATGGTAAATTGCATAATAAATTATGAAGTATTAATGGAGAATGATTATGGATGAAAGATTGTCTTTTTTTGGAAGTGGAGAGGCAATAGAACAGTTTTTGCCTCTTTTCATGCCCTGAGAAAACAACTTTGGAGTTCCTTCTTTCAGTTGAAGTTAGAGAATCTACTGTAAGCCAAGATTGCTTTGCAGCATTGACATTATATACAACTGCTACAGGCACCCTGACTTGCCAAGTCATAACTTAAAAACAAAACAAACCTGCTTGTTACACATTCAATGCACATGTAAGTATGCATGTGTGCGCAGGCTCACTCTCTCTCTCTCTCTCTCTCTCTCTCACACACACACACACACACAGAAGCACATCCCACAGTATTTAAGGGTCCATTGGTTCAACTGTTTCTTGCTTGACCTTTATAGGTACCCGAGGTAGTGGATGACCATGAGGCAACTTCACAATGGACATATCTGACGATTCATAAAGATTGCATCCTGAGGAGACCAGCCCATTTCCCAGGTTCCTCTGCAACGATGCTTTCAGAGTGGTTCCTTCCATTTCTCTTCGAAGCACAGCAAGTATTTCCTTTTCTACCACTGATGCCGTGTCAACATTGTCCTCAACATCGTCCAGCCTGTCTGCATTGTCACTAATGTCGAATTTCTCTATCTCTTCATTGATCCGATTGAGGTCCTCTGTAGAAAGGTTGGATGCAGGGACAACAGGACAGTTGCCCTTCAGGTGGACTTTGAGGCTGCAGAGGTGGATGTAGCTCTTATGGCAGTGCACACACTTGTGTGGGCGCTCTCTGGTGTGCAGTCGTTTGTGCAGTTTCAAGTGCACAAACTGGGTGAATTTAGCAGTGCACAATTTGCACTGATAAGGCTTCTCTCCAGAATGGAGCCGCAAGTGGGTCTTCAGGTTGCTTGTGCTGCTGAATCGTTTATGGCAGACCTAATTAAGAAAAGACAAATAAGGGCATTAGGAGGATTACTGCATTTAAAATAATTACATGTTTAAACAGAAACATGTTAGTGATGAAAGTGTAATTCAGCCCCACGCAGTCTTTTAAAATCACACCATCCCCATATTTTTAAATCCATGCTAAAGTATTATCGCAACTTCATGTCTACCAGGCTTTTAAGTACCAGGGGTTAAGGCACAAGAGACATTACCCAAAAAAGCAGGCAACCAAAATTTGTTTGATGTTGTGTTACCACAGTTGCCACTACAAGAGAGAAATCCAGTTTTCAAAAAAAAAAAAAGGAATACTATCCCTTCAACATTGCAAGATAATATCAAACAATGCTGAGTTTTGCCTCCATCATATTCTCTTTCTGTACAAATGGTTACATACCTGACATTCATGAGGCTTTTCTCCAGTGTGTACCAAATAGTGCTTTTGGAGGTGAGCCAACTGAGTGAACCCTTTATTGCAAGTAGTACATTTGAATGGTCTTTCTCCACTGTGTACTCGAAGGTGAACCTTTTAAGAAACAAAACATTCATTGTAGTCTCACAATGGCTGCTGAGATACTAAGTATTACTGTTATTATTATTAGTAGTATTTATTTGTTGTATATCTAAAATACCGGGCATTGTAAAAAGTGATGAAACAAATATTTGAATATACTTGATAAGTAATAGTGCCTGAATTCAGTATATGTTCCATGAATCGTATGGGTGGCATCATCTGTCATGCGTTCTGATCCCTGCTAAACACAGTTCTTTGATCAAGCTTTCTCCAGCTCCTGATTCTAGATTTATATTTTTGGATTTCTATGTTGTTTTCATGGCCCCATTGGTCCTTTTTTATGATGCACACACAGTCTTATAAGTGATCTGGAAATTACATTTCCAAATAAACAAGAGTTATTGGAATGGCTGCTGATTGTGTGGCAGTGTTCAGTGACAGAGGCGATGAAGTCAGAAGCTGCCACCGCCTTCTTGCAATATGTACCACCCCTGTCCTTACCCCTTCCTTCTCCTCCTCCTCCTCCACCACCACCACCCCTTAAAGGTGGCAGTCTCTTCCTGCAAGCTGCATTTCTTCACCAGGAACCACTGGCTATACAGATACCGATCAAAGTAAGCAGCATCATGCAACATCTGAATGGTGTATCCCATGTATATGCTCACTTTCTGAGTGTAGTTGTCAAAAACTCATGCAGCAGTACAGGAAACCCTCAAAGAGTGAAAGTGAGAGGGTCACACCCACTTCATGTCATACCCAACTTGTTTGCAGCACGGAATTACCATTTAAGCCATTCATGGAAAATACACTATTGTTTGTGACTACCTGATTTTTCAAATTTTTAAAGATGCAAATGCATGCACATGACATGAAGGAAAGCTGCAGAACCCCAGTGTCAAGATACAATACTAAAACCTAGGTAGGTGACTAATCTAGAGAGGAAAAAAAAGGTCTTTTCCAGGTTAAATACAATCCTTCTTAAAAAGGTACTGCCATTTGTAGTTAGACATGAGGAGAGCTGTGTAGAAACGTTTCCTTTAGAGACCTACCTTCAGGTTGGACAGCTGCCCGAAGGTTTTGGAGCAGACATTGCACTCATACTTGATTTTACCATTCTGCTTCTTCAGTGGGTATGGGAGGGTTTTGTAACCAGTCATATTTCGCTTGCTCTTGATGAGATTCATGGCTTCTTCACTGCCAGTGGCAGCCAATACTGCTGAGGTAGGTTTAGGTTGCATGATGTGTTCTGAAGTAGCTGCTGTGCCTGCTGTGGGTGAGCCACTCGTAGGGCTGCAGGGCTTGTCTTTCATGCTGGCAGCGGCTCCTGTGATGGAGAAGGCACTGTTATGCGCAGGGATAAGAAAGTCCCGTGGATGCTCAGGTTGTAGCAGCTGGCGGCTTCCATCAGATGGCAAGGAACTTGGAAGAGGAGAGGAGTTCAGCATTGGATTAGAGATGCTTCCTCCACTGAACAGGCCGCTATAAAAAGGATACATCCTTGGAAAGAGATTGAAATTGCTCATGTTCATGCCATATGGTGGTAACAGGAATTTGGGATAAGAAAAGGGTTGTGAGAGATGGGTTGAAGGTGCATACCCAGAATATGACCCTAATCCTTCTGAGTTATAGAGTCCATTCAAGTAAGGATAAGGTTCTCTGTGCTCTTGAGGCATGGAAGCCAGGGGTGAAACTGTAACTCCCGGACTACTGTGAGGACTTGAACTTTTCAAACTTTGGTCTGGGCTACTTCTTGCTGAAGGGCTTGGTGTGGTAGAAGACTGGATAGGTGAGTGGGCAATATAACTAGGCCTTTCAATCGCATAAGCGAGAGAAGCTTTTAGGTAATCTTCTGGAATGTGAGGTCGGATAGGGTAGACAATTCGAGGATAGAAAGTCCTTTCAGGGCTACAATTTTTTCTCAAACCCTCCAAGTCTTTTTCTTGAGTATGTGGAGAAATGTGGCTATAGAATACATCCCTTCCTCTAGGGTTACTGAAATCAGTTTTCAGGATTTCCTTCACACTGTGCTCTCTTTTGGGAACGTTTTTCTGATAAAGTTCATCTTTGTCATTGGTTTGCTGCTTTGGGTTAACATGTCTTTGTGCTGAAATAAAGAAAATAAAACAACAAAGAAATGAATAATTCAACTCAATATAGACAGTTTATAACATTTCAAGAACAATGATATTTGACCTTTGTCAAACAGAAACCTTTTGACAGCACTTTGATTAATATAAACTGTCTTTAAAAAGAAAGATGATCTTAGGCCTTTGTATCAGTAGAATGACTAGCACCAGATTAAACTCGAGGGACATAAAATTAGTGATTATTAAATAGTAGTTAATTATAATGAGTCTCTACGTTCGTCTCTGCCTTCCTAAATAGGGATTAACTTAATTATTAAAAGCTTTTCTATCCCATCCCCTACAAATAAATTGTATTAAATTATTTACAGAAAACTTTATCCATTTGGCCAGGAGGGGAATCCTTTGGAGTAAGCCATTTCTTAGAAATTCTCATAGTCCTGTCCTTCTGTTCTCTAATCCAATCAATTCCAGATTTTGATAGGTCCTTCACAGACAGCTCCATTGCATGTCATAATATATTAAGGAACCAAGGTGACACAAGAAGAGTCCTTCAGCAGCTTTCACACATGTGAAAAAAGTGTCTTTGCTCACTATTGCAGGGCATGAATACAGTGATACAAACTACCTACACTTAAATTATCAGCAAAATGTCACATTTTGCCACATATTTTGGAGTTCAAATCAGTAGGTGACATCCAAGTAAGGATGGAACTGCTTCTGTCAGCAGGAGATATTTCCTTTGCCCTCTGTACCTTCAAAGCCTGCCCTGGTGAGCTGAGTGCTGGAGGACAAAGGAAAAAGATCCCCATCATGCACACAGACTTTCATTCGCACACCACTGGACTTCACTGAGCCACCTTGGTTGGTGTGCAATGTCAAAACCGTTCAAGCACTGGAATTTCTGTCGTATTCTAACATTCGCAGTAGCAACTGATATTTCCTTTGCTCTAAAATTTCTTCAGCATTCCAATAACTATGAGACAAATTTTATTAAAATGTTTGCAAGAGGAACAAACCCTCTGCTTCTTTGTTTAAATCAATTTATGAAAAGAAAATGAACTTTACTCTTCCTCCCCCATCTTGTTAGTGCTTGCACAATAAACCTAATCTAATGTGTCCCTATTATAAGCACAGCTTTATGTCCCATAACGTGTCAGGTGGCTACATTAACCTTTTCCTACCACACACACACACACACACACATACTGCTGAAAGATGGTGGGATTTGATGAGTGGCCCCAGTTTCCTGAAGTGTGCTTCTGTGGTGAGAAAACAAGCCATGTAGCCTCTTCAAGCATACCAGTTTGAATATGTGTCTGCCTCTACTGTGCTGTGCAAAGTGGTTCTCACTCTTAAGATTTAAAAAAAGCAACTATTCTGTCTCTTCCTTTCAAATCTTCAACCTACACTATGATACTGGCCTGAGTTTTCTGTAAAAATTCACAAACCTGCATTTTAGTATTCTAGTGCACAGCTGTACCCTGGAAATGCCCCCCAAATCAGAGCATGCAAATTATAGATTTGTGGATTACAAGGCAATCTTTTACACGCCTTTCTAAGGAGAGGTAGTTTGGCCAGTCTGGTTCCCCCAACTGTCTCCGACAAACAAATAACTCTTAACATTTGTCACTGCCTGAGGTGGGCAGCTTTTTTCTTTAGGGTAACACTGTCTCTGGGTAATCTGTCAGGGGCTGAATGTTGGTGGGTGTCCAGTAATGGATAGTTTATCCCTTTCCTCTTCTTGCAACTGCCTTTTCATTCCCTCTTTTTTCCCCTCTCATGTGGCAGGCTGCTGAATCTTCCTTAAGGCAGCAATCCAGAAGGAAGATCTGGAATAGTTGAAGAAGGGGGTTTATATGTACATTTGACAGGTAAGAAGGCAGAAAAACAAATAATTAAGAGTCATACTCCAAGCTTTTTAGCAGAGTCTAGCCAGATAGCAGGAAATTAAAACTGTCACTGTTGTGTTTAAAAAAAAAACAAAAACGATTGGTACAGGAAAGGACAGCATTGCTGGATTTAGTATAGAAAACAGCATTTTTCTACAGGTTAGCATAACAGCTTAGTGAGAACATTTTCTCTACAGAAATGTCCATCACTGATTTCTACCACGGAGGAAAGAAACACTGCTCTTTGTCCTGATACAAATAGATCATTAAGAACTATACGTAAGCTTAAGTTCAAAGTTCAGCATATTTTCCCCACAGATTATACTCAAACTGTTGAGTGTTTATGCCAGCGTAAATGTTACCATAGTCAACAAAACAACTGAAGTATGGTGAATCATGATGTCCCCAAACCTAGTCTGAAGAACCATCTCCTTTGTGGATCTTTTGTTAGCAGCCTGAAAGATTTAATTTTAATTATTTCCCCTGAGACCTCAAAAAGTAGTTGTGGGTGTGTAGAGTCATTTCTAGAGTAAATGCTGTTGAACACTTTGAATGATGGATTTTAATAATGCTGACTCACATTTTTGTTCTAAATAAGAGGCCTATTTTGTTAGACGAAAGAGAATCTAGAGGTCCCAAGGTTAAAAAAAAAAAATCCACTGAAGCTAGGAACGGAGACTAATGTTTACCATTATAATACCTCATCATTTATTTTTAAATGGGTCATGAATATTCACACACATTTCTGCTTAAAAACCATTGCTATTTAGAAGAATCACGGGTGTCTTGGATGACCTGTGTGTGGTTATGGGAGAACAAAGACCATTGAGCAAGAGGGAATCCCGTGTGTGTGTGTGTGTGTGTGTGTGTGTGTGTGTGTGTGTGTGGTGGGGGGGGGAGGGCGGGAACAGGAACAACCCAGCAGCTGGATTGGAACTCAACATCTTCCGGGAAGTCTATACACAGGATATGAAAGCGACAGTTGTCTTCGTCTCCCAGAATCAGGCATATTCAGTGCATGGTTTTAGGCGATGGTAGTTTCATTTAGTTTTCCTGGCCAATAGATATTAGTTTAAAAACTAAGTGGGCATCACCTCATCTTGTGGTAGTAATTCTGTACATTAATAGCCCATTGTGAAACAAAGTGTTCTCTTACTCTGTCCTGAATCTATTGCCAATCAGTTCATTTTTGGGGTTAATGAGAAAAGGAGAAACATTCTCACTATAATTTCTGTACCATAAATATTTTTATTAATTGCTGATATTAATTTAATTAATCAATGTCTCTCCCCTCTAAATTTAAATCCCCATGCTTCAACCTTTTTTTCCCTAAAGAAAAGATCCAATCGCCAGGTCAGGCTTCCAAATCATGTCATCCAGCCTCCAGATCAGCTTTGCCCTTTCCTGTAACTTTTCAGGTCTGAGATCAAACAAACCAGATAAAATCCAATTTGGTTTCAGATAAAACAAACTAGTATTCCAGCATGTCTGCACCAAAGAGCTATATAAAGATGTTCTGTTGCTGGCTGCCTCATTCTAGGAATGACAAGTTCTGGCTTTCTGCACAAACTCAAATCTCAGATTTTTAAAAAATCCTTCTATGCAAAATCTATATGGACACAAGATATTAGTCATTGATATAATCATGCATCTTATTTTTAAACGACATGTCATTAGGAAGCTTTGTCATACACTTACTAATATTCATCATCCTCAAGTCTCCTGTGGAAGGATAGTGCAACCTCTCTGCAAAGTCCCGGCAGTACCACACGAGCAACTCCTGCCCAGGCGGAATGGGCTTGATGGTGTAAAAGTAGATGCCCATTCCGTTTTGACAAGCTGCCAAATTCTGCTCTTGAACAGAACGGGCTGGGTTTACATAGCGCATCCAGTTACTCTTTTCCTCATTAAATCCATCAATGAAGTGGAGCAGCTCACCGCCAGAGTAGATCTACAGAAAAGAGATGAGACAAAATGGTATGAATGCAGCAGCCTTTGGGGAAGACAATGAGGTCTCCCTTCTTTTTTTCCAAATATAAGGCTATCATTCCCCCTCGCCAAATTAAATATCCTTTGTAATCTTTTTGACTTTTATATATTTAATACTGGGTCTTGCTATTAGCATTCATTCATACAATTTTATTGCACGCTATCCAGGGACTAAAGTGATGGACAGCCTAGAAATAGCCTAAATAAATAAACAAACTGAAAACATACTCCTTGAAGTGAAACATTCAGTCTTTCTGCTTTCAACATCTACTTTATAACTGCTGGTCAACAAGTGGGCGGTGTTAGCGACTTCAGGTCTGGCTGTGGGCTTGCAATAATGTGGTGAGTCACATTTGTAAAGACTGATTAGTTTGGTTATGTCACAAATTACCACGGATTTTTCTTGTAATTTTTTTCTCTACAAATTCTGCACTTGCAGTTTTCCACTCCCACCCTAAGTTTTAAGTTATGCAAATATCCCTTGCTCTGAGTCCTAATATAACACTTGTTCATACTTGGCATGCAAGCCGTTTGTTCAAGGTCTGGGTGGAGTAAAGTGAACATGGTACAACTAAGTGGACATATGGAAGCAGGCTAGTAAGATAATTTTTTTCTCCAGTCAGTAGGTACACTCAAGAAAATACAACTGTATATCAGATGATGGAGCAACATATTATGTGGCAATCAAGTCATCCTTGTTTTCCCCTCTGAAATTATTAAAGTCTTGATGAACCTGTATTCTTGGACTGTAGCAAAGAATTACATTTTATTGCACTTTGACATAACTGCTTTCAGATTATCACTGAAAGAGTGGCACATTAACTAGAACTTAAGAGGCTTTTTATAGTTTCTCAAATCATCATGATCAAATAGGAACTTTGTATCTGTTTCCTGCCTTGTTCCCAGGAGCTCTGGGAAAGTGGCCTCTACTTCCTTGTTTCATTTTACTTTCATCAACTCCTTGCCCCCATGAGGTGAGCTAAGTTAGTTAGGCAATTTCCAGAAAGCCATCCAGTTGAGTGTCATGGCTGAACAAAGATTTGAGTTTTGTTTTCCCATGCCCAAATGCAGCATTACACCATGTTCCCTGTGCTTTTTTCATATGCATGTTCAGTTTTATCTGCATGCTATTTGATGCAAGAATTGACTTAGAAGTCATTAAAAAAGCAGCAACAAAGCTGGCCTTTTAGCACAGGCAGTAAACACCAGAATCACTTTCTTACTTCCTGTCGTTTGAGGCCGAGGAAATACATGTGGCTTCATCAAAGAAGCTTGAGAGATTTTGTGGTGTTTTTGTTATGAGAAAGATGGAACAAAGCCTGAAGAATTATGCTCTCAAGAGGAGTTCGTTAGCTCCAATTTGCAAACATCCAGGAACTCAATTGTTCCATTGCTGTGCACTTCTTTTACATATAGAAGCTACTTTTCACATTAGATCAAGTGACTTCCAGGCAGCTTAACAAAGTCCAGGCAACTTACTATGTGCTTCTTCAAAACAAGCACTCCTCACTGCAGTAAGATCTCATGACCTCATAAAACTTTATTTTGCCACCTCACCAGATTTCCATGTATAAGGAAGATAAAATGTGCTGAGTCATACTGTAGCAATTACAAGAAATGACATCACCTTGGAGTTTGCATAGTATATTCATACATTCTCTTTTTAGAAGATATAATTTAATTGGAACACATGGTTACATACAACAGATGTTCCTGTTCCTGCCAGCCAAATCAGGATGTCTTTTATATGACATGTGGGAAATTATTTTCCACAATTTCCTTTGCATCTGTAAGGCTCTTTTAAGACCCTTAGGAAAGAACTATTATTTACTTGAGGGTGTGTGAATCAAATGAATCAACCCTGGTATTTACTAAGATTTTTCAGAAGGCAAAGAAATACAAGCATGATGTCAGCTTACTCACTGAAAGTCTGAAATAACCTCCAGTTAGGTAGACAGAATCCTAAGAATTACTTTCAGACTTACTTCAGTGCTGTAAGACTAGTCTGAAAGCCAACATGCTTATTTTGCTCTGATAATGGATCTGAATATATATATTTGTTGATTATAAAAACTTGATAACAAAAGTCAATTATATCACCCAGTGCAGAAAATGGCAAAACTATCCTAAAATTAATCTTACAGAAGAACAAACAAGGAGGTCCAAGTCACTCCTGTTTCTATTCTTTTTTAAAGATATACACAAGAAATGGATGAAATGGCTACAGTTCCTAGTTTTTGTAATGACATGCAATGTTGGCATGATGTGAGACTAACACTCAAATGTCATTTTCCTATCGCCATCATCTAAAAGTTTGAACTAAGTAAATCATAAAACAACACTTGTTCATAATTGGAATGCTGTACTAGGTGGGGTAGGGTGAGCTGTCTTTGATATAACTTAACAGAAATCTGGAAGGTGAGGAATTTGAGAGCTTTGATATTAAATACTTGTGTCTTGGGTACTTACTCTTTGAAGCTTCAAATATGTCTTCAAATCAAAAGTAGAGTACTCTTATGGCAAAACCTGATCTAGGACTTGAATCCATAACTCAGATTCTTGCCTAATGTCTACCCTGCGAGGCTGTCAAACATTAGTGGAATCAGTCCTTAACAGATGTTCATTTTTTTTAATGCTGTGCTACATAAAAATGACTGCACAGCAGCTCTTCTTTTTGACATTGTAGCATCTTGTGGGCAGACCATTCCTCCACTTTTGGTCTGATATGATGTGGTATCTCTAAATGTGCTCCAGTCATGTTTGCATATATAATACGATGCTGCATTACAGTTTAAGCTAAAGGAGTATATTTGAACATTATATTTAAGTGTTACATTTATAATCTTATTTTCTAAAGTTACTTTTAAACTCACAACAAAAGTAAGGTAAGAGATAGTGATTTGCTCAAAACTATTCAGTAAGTGAGTTTCCAAGTCCTTTGTTATGTGCCATTCCTCTCTGTTCACCATTATTATGTAGGACCAGCCTGATACAGCAGGCTTGGCAGCATTTTAGGAAGTAACCTAGTGATTTCTGTAATTAAAATTCAACTCAGGTTAAGTAATCTATTGCAATAGTTCAGTGTTTCAAAAAGTAATTAGGGTGCAATCCTATGCATACTGAGACAGATTAAGCATGGCTGACTGGGGGATGCTGGGAGCTGTAAGACTTCTGTCTAAATAGGTGTAGGATTGCATCCTGTATCATTTAATCAACTGCAGGGCAGGAGAAAGAGAGAGAGAGAGAGAGCACAGGTAATACTAGTTAAGGTTGTGGGAGTCTGCTGGTTCGCACCTCTCTGACATTCCCTCTGCCCATCTTGGAGACCTGCCATGCAGTGGGGCAGGGGGAAGCAATTTTACAACTGTTGCTGAAATCACATAAGAGAGCATTCCTGAAAAAACCTATTGTTCATTTACCTATTCACAGCACTCAAATTACAAAACAGAAATGTGTTGCATTTTCATCACAGCTCGGCAATGCATTTATATAAAGCAGGTTTTTTTTTTTTTTTTTTTTTTGCTTACCCGCCAAAAGTATTTTCTGCTTGCATCCTTGGGAACTGTGTCATTTGTATAGATTTCACCAACCAGGGGTCCAAAGCGTGTTCCTTTGGGGATAATGTCTTTGCTAATAACTCCAATAACCTGAAAAGAGATGAGGTAAGACCATTTAAAAAAAATTATATGCTTAAAAATAGAAAGGCTAACAGTTGTAGAGAAGAACATGATTCCAAAAGCAACTTTTTGGTTCTGTTGGCCACCCACTGTATTACTGGGAACTGTAAAGTTGAATTAGATTGGCTCAGCTTAACTTGCTGTCTTCCTGTGAGAAGATTTAGGAATGATAATTCAGAATTTCATTTTGCTGTCAGATAACCAGAATTTGATAGTGATTGTAAGACAATAATAATAGTAAGTCCAGATCCTGTTATAGGATAGCACAAATGTTCTGTGGGGAAATAAAGACCATTGGAGTCAGCAGAAAGAACTGGTCTGTAACTACAGATCCACACATACCTTTAGAGTCTTTGTGCCTTGATACCCTGCCCAGTGGTAACAGAAACAGCACCATCCAACACTCCATTATCTGAAAATGTACTTCATAAAGTACTGTCAATTTCTCATCTCCAGATATAGACCTTGCTTATTGTGAATTTGATCACAGAAATGTAGGAATTTTGAAGGCACTGGTAGGCACAAATGTAAAATACACTGGCCCTTCAGCTTTCTTCTTGCCGGTGCCCTTATCATGGAGCACAAATCAGAAATCAGTTCACTATTTAGCAGACATAGTTGTCAGTATCGCCTCACACAATGCTTCAAAGGCTGGGGCTTTCCTCTCCCTTTGCTTACCTCTGCCTCCACTAAGCCTGCTAAATTTTAATTTGCTCCAAATGATGTATAAACAGAGTAACTTAGTAAACCAGGAAACATGAATAAGGACTTTAAATGACTGATGTCTGCAGCTTAAATGGAAAGTGGGGGACGAACAGAAGATGTTTGTTCCACTGACTTGGTAAACATTCATGTTAAAGCTAATGAGGTCATGTTCTTCTCACACAATCGACTAGTTTCATTATGCCTGCCAAAATAATGAAAGGATACAATTGTATTATGGATCCATTGTACTTACCTCAAAAAATAAGCATTATTAAGTGCAACAAAACATCAGCATACATCCTATATTAGCATAAATACTCAATTTCTATTATTAGAAAGTATAAGTAGTATTTGCAAAATTAACAAAATTATAAAAATAAGTGGTTACTATGGTATATATCAGAAGACTGAAATACAGATTTTATTTTATTGGCAGAGTATGATTGCTTCATAGGGAACAAAGGCAGGGGAATTTAACCGTATGGGTCCCTTCCATGCCGGTACTCATCCTTCACTAGGTTTCTGCAGAATGCCTTTAAAGCAGCATTACTGGATTGCCTGAACTTGAAAGGAGCTTGCTTTCCTCAATATGTACGAATAGTTCTTTGAGCGGAGATGCACAACACTAAATGCTCAGTCTCCCAAATAATCTCTTCAAGTTCTGTCTCCTATCTGGTACAAACACACAATTAGTTCATTATTGCAGCTTCTCCCAAAGAATCCTGAGAACAGTAGTTGTACAAACTTAATTCTGCCCTCTTGCACAAAACTACAACTCCCAGGCATCACAGGGGCGGGGAGGAGGGGGAGGAATGTCTGTTAAACAAATTTAAGCTGGTGAAATGGAAAAAAACTCTTACTGGAACAAGCGCACTGAAGTCTAGGATTCTGCCTGCCCTGAATTTGACTGAGTAAGTCTGTGGCAAATGTTTCACTATGTTTTTTAATATTTTTTAAAAATCAAGCCAGATGTGCTGAGGACAGATTGAACAGGGACTTTCAAAACAAGTAAGAACAAATAAGAGCATGCCCAATGGCAGTGTTTATTTTTATCACTCTTGAGCATTTTTCATAGAGAGGTGAAAAAGGCAGATGTTCTTCTAGCTTTCCCCAACTACCTTCATTTACATTCTGTTAAACTTTCAAGAAAAGTTCACACCCAGTATACAAACTGAACTTGCAGTTTGACCGTAAGGTACGTTTTTGCTCCTACATAACACACACACAACTCTTAGTTTTAATTCAAATGTATACTGAAGTTTTCAGAACGTCTAGGAATCAGTATTACTTGGAACTTGTCAAATAGAAAGTTAGGGGATTTTTGTACAATCATTCAAAGCATGCCCCAACAGTATTTTATTCTTTGTGTAAGGTGCTTTGGAAAATTATAATGCTATTTTTTATTATCATTAAGTGCAGTGTATGAGTGTGTAAAACGGGGGAATGGTTGGCAAATAGGAGGCTCAAGCGTACCGCTGCCCAAAGGGTGGGCTGGATGAATATGGCAGAGAGGAATATTTGCTTTGCTTAGCCATACTGCTCAATATTCTAGACCGTTTCAACCATACTGTCTCTCTCTCGGATACTTGATGGATGCGCACACTAACAATAACAAGAGAAAGTGCACAGCCTTTCCAGTCTGTTCATTTTTTAAACCTCACCATCCTAAAATTTCTCAACTAGAAGAATAGTATTGGTTGTCCTTTTTGCACAAGGAAGAATCAGAATGCCACAGGCAGAAGAGCCACAGACGTGGCTTGCTACCTCTCACTTCATAGGGAATGACTGGCAGGTGTTCCTGACAGCTGAACAACACTCCAGAAGGCAATCACAACAAAACTGGATTTCCTGAGGGGCAGCAGTGTCAGTCTGCTCCAAAAAAAAGCTGCAAAGTGTCTTGTGGCAGCTTAAGCACAATATTATACTCTTCAGCTTAGTGTTGCTTTCATGATACGACACTTAGTGTTGCTATAATCCCCTTCATCAGATGCATGAAGTGCACCCAAAGTAAGAGAAATTTGCAGTGGCAGCACACTCTAGGGGGAAGAGGGCTAGACTATGGCAGATTGGTAATAGGCATTGTATTAAGTCCACTGTACTTGCATGGAAAGGCCTTTCCTTAGCTTGACTGCCTTTTATAACAGAAGGTCAGCTTGGCACTTTCTACAGACATCAAAAAATATAGTTATTAGTATAATGGTGCATTGGCGGTATTTTATTTCTGTGTTTGTTTCAAGTAGTCATAATGGCCTCAGGCTATACACAAACCTAAGAAAAGACACTAGTACTACTGCTAAAAAAGAGCAGAAATAGAAGTTAATAGGCCTTATTAGTTTACTGAAATAAATTGATATTTCAAACTTGTCCACAAGGTGTCATTAAGAACACCTGCTTTGTAATGATACCATGCTAAGCCAGAACTTCCTGGTAATGCAGTAAAAATTTATAGGTGCTCTTATGAATGTCAAGAATGCCTTTTTAGCATATCTTTTCTTTCAAATTCTTGCTAGGGCTTTTTAAAAAGTCCCTATAGGTGATATGCTGAAATTATATGTATAATTGAAAATATAAATAAATAATAGCAGAACATTAAAATTACAGTAATTTGTCACTTGAAAATAAATAGTCTCTGGGTTATTGCTACCAATTCCCAGTATTTGGAGGGTATATACCTGAAGAAGGTAAAGCCACAGGTCTGTTGTACCAAAGGACAACATTCTGGTGTTCATTGCTGAGTTACATTTTCACACAGTATAAAGTCATGGCACTGACTTATTACAACCTCTTGAAAGCCAACTGCCAGTAAGTATACAGGAAATGAAGATAGCCTGCTATTTCTTTACTATTAGAAGGTAGCAGGATGTCAAGTATTCCAATACATTCTCATAGGTAGATGCTTTATTTTTACTGGTGTTTCAAGTATAGCAAAGTTTCTCTACTATTCATACTATACTCAAGTAGTTCTGAAACTCCAGAATGACTTGGATGAAACTGATTATTAACTGAATCCTTTCCAAGCTGCTTTCAGGCCCAGTTAGGGGACTGAACCAGGACTGATGAAGGACTAGAGAGAGGCAATGTGCCTCTGTTACCTAGATCTTTCAGTGTCATCTCATATTGATCAAGATATCTTCCTGAAGCAGATATGGAACTTCAGGGGACTTTTAGTGGTGGTTCCAGGCCTAATTGGCTGAACATTTCCAGAAGGTAGTACAGGACTGTTGCTCAATCCCATGATCATTGGCCTATTGAATTTTTCAAGGCTCTGATTTTTAACACTTACATGAAGCCACTGAGAGAGCGATCATGTAAAGTCTGTGGGTTAGATCTGATCGTTACGTTTTTCAGTGCCAGCAACACTGAGGAACATCTGAATGCTTGCCTGGATGTACTAGGGGCCTGGCTGTGGATGAGATTGAGAATCAATGCATACAAGTTGGAGGTCTCAGTGGTCAACCGAACCTGGAGAACCAACCTATTCCGGAAGGGGTAATATTAGTTTCAATCCTGCTCCTGGAAGGCAAGTAGCAATGGTAGCCAGGAGTACCTTCACCCAGTTTCAGCTGTACCCTTCCAGGGAAGGTGCATCTGGCAGTAGTGATCCATGGCTTAATCACTTCTCATTTAGGTAACTTTAACACAAAAACTTGACATGTGAGCTCTCCTTGAAAGCTGTTCAAAAATGACAGCTAGCACAGAACCTGCTGGTCAGATTATCTGGTGTACAGCATATAACAATGGTCTTGTATCAGCTTTACTGTCTTCCAATTTCTTTCTGAGCCAAACATGGGGTCCTAGTTCTTACCTATAAAGCCTGAAAAGGCTTGTAGGCAAGGCTACCTGAAAGACTGCCTCCTTCTGTATTAATCTGCCAATAACTTATGGTGATTAGACATACTGCTTTATACCCCACTATCTAGAGTGGTTAAGTTGGTGGGTTCATGAGGCAGGGTCTTTTCTTATAGAACCCCCTCATTAACCCCTTCTTTCCCATGCTTTGGATGGACCCAGCAGACTGTATTGTTATTTTAATGAATTCAAAAGTTAACTGCATTATCCTAAAGATGATACCATCTTTGCTTTATCATAGGTTGGTTTGATGTATTTGTGTTTTATTATGCATTGTTGTTTTAGCTAATATATGTATCAGGTTGGTTTGATTTATTTGTGTTTTATTATGCATTGTTGTTTTAGCTAATATATGTATGTATTGGATAGAGGGGCAATGTATAAATATGCAAAATAAATAAAATAAATAAATGGCCATTTTAAGAAGACAGCACACTTGTCCAGGGGGAAAAATAGCAGTTGGAACTGGCCAGGGTCCTAATGAATTATTGCTGGAACAAAGCTACTGTATAGCTCCTGTAAACATTTCAGTGGCAGTCGAAAAGATTTGATACTCTCATACTTCATTTGTCCATACAGAAGCCACTTTCCAAGATGCTTTATGGGCATTGCTGACCTTTTTGCTATTTCATCACATTTGTCTCTGTCACTAGACTGTGTCATGGAGCACATCCTGACAAGTAGGAGCTTCTAGACAAGAAACAGCACTCCACGGTTTTCTCTGCTGAGAGGTTTTGTTTTTTGTTTTAATGGGAGTGTGTGTACTTGTGGATTCCTTATTGGGAGGGCAACTGTAGAAATAAACTCCATTAGGCACAGAATGGATGTAGTTAAATGCTCGTGCTATTATATCTTTCAGTGGGCACTAACATAATACCAAACAAAGCAAAACTTAACAAAACGAGTAGGAACTGGATTGATGGCCAGGTGTTGGAGCAAGAATGATTTAATTTTAGCTCCCTGTTAATTTAACCTCCACTTCCCCAGTATTACCATGATGACTTGTTCACTTAGCTTTTTGTTTTGAACAATATATACTTTCATTCTTTTGTTTTTGAACATCGCTGACTGAAAGAATGATGCAGTTGAAAAGAGGGCTTACATCCTATAATTTATTATTTTTAAAGGGTGGAGTGAGAGGAAGTGTTTTCCTATTGTTTCCTTCTTACATATACACAGCAACAGAGATAGCAATCAACTTCCATGTACAGAGAAGACATGTAAGTGCCAGATGTATGGCTCATGGGTCAACATATTATTTTGTTAAAAAGTTTATTCAGATTTTCTGTAAGCCACCTTGATCTTCCTGTTGACTGGAAGGATGGTTTATTCATTCTAAGACAAACCCCACCCAAATGCCACTTCTCCTGAAGTGCAGCCTTAAGCATGTGTGTTGGGTTGCCTTTGAAGACATTTGCAGCTAGGTTACTGGGGGCACATTTATGGGACACAGTCTTAAAAGTGGTATATTCCTTTCTGGGCCTACGTCAACCTTTTAAATCCTAAACATTTAGGATCAGAGGATTTCCTTACCCCGTATCAACATATCCAGGTATTACGATCCTTACTGGAGGCCATTCTGTTGATTCATTCTGATAACCCTTGGTGGGGCTTTCTCTGTGGTACTGGCCTATGTTGGAAATGCTTCCCAAAGGACACTTACCTGGGGCTATTATGCCCTTTCTATTAACCTAGGATTTTTAATATTTATATGGTTATGATTGTTTAATCTGCCTGTTCTTTTCACTAATTCATTGTCTTTTATTGCTGATTGTTTATTTCAGATGATTTTTTTAAAGTACAGACCAGTTTGGGAGGTTCGCCTAAAAAGTGGGCATAGAAATATTCTAAATAACTGAATAAATAAAATCATTTAGAAGTATTCACAAGCCAATTGTCTCTTCATGGGAAGTACTTTACTAATTTCAGTTAAAAACAGTGAACATTGAATCAAGGAGATAAACATACCCTATAATGAAGGTCCAATAAAACCTTAAATAATAAGAACAGGAGAGAGTTGCTTTAAAATGATGCCAACACATACTGCAAAATAAAAAACAGCTTCTTCAGATAATCCCCAAAGGCCAAGCATGTGACATGCTAAGGTATCTTCTGCCTTTACAATAAAAGGTGGGGTTTGGGAATTAGTAAAACAATGAGGTAAACGAAAGCAAAATCCAGGCACACGCAAACGCACATGCTAAACACAGAAATATCAGTAGGACCTTGAAATATTACTCTACATATGGTCCTTAATGACAGCATTAATATTTCATAAGCATGTTTTTTTCTCTATAAAAACAGCTTATTGCGTGCATGATTACGTGAGCTGACAGTTGAGTAATCTCCCAAAAATATTAGGAAAGAGAGTTCATTGTCAAAATCTACCAAAAGTATGACCCTCGCATACTAAAACGGTGAAGTTCTCCTTGTGAAATTGCCTCTGTAAATCAGAATTAGATTAAAAATTTAAGCTCAAAATATTGATATTATGCAGTAAATGAAAAAGCATAAAATATCTGTTCTCATTTTTCCCATTTGCGGGAATAACCAATGGTAATCAGCTGAAATCCAGACCAGAGAAAACTATTGGATTCTGTCATGGGTCTTGGGACATGGGTCCAAAGATCACCTGGCTTTGGCCTGCTCATATTCCTTGTGCTGCCCCCCCCCATTTCAGAAAGTGGTAATTAATAGTACCTACTATTCTCATACAGGTGTTGTCAAAATGAATGATTAAGGACTGTAAAAAACAGATCTGAGGGTGCATAAGATATATAGATAGTCTGATTCTAAAAGGGATGCAAGGAATACAGAATTAATAAAAATATCCTTCACAAAGGACGCTAGAATCACAAGCACTGTCTGGCCAGATTCTTATTTTGTAAGGTTTCTCATAAATTTTATTTGGATCAACAGGAAACTTTGTAGTAACTTAAATCAAAATCATGTTTCAAACAATCTCAGCAGTATTCCTAAAGTAGTACTATAATGTAAGAAAACACATTATATATACATATCCAAGTGAGCAAGTTTTTAGAATTTTTTCAGCCTGACTGTGAAGTGGCAATCAGGTTTAAACCAAACAAATGGTAATATTCTAGCACAAGAACTGACATTAGCTGGTTGCTTCATCCAGTTCATCATCTCGCAAATCAGTCTGCTTGTCACAGCATCACAGTTTCAGCACCTGAGTCAGGGGCACAATAGATACCAGGCACCTTTTTAAAGTGTCTCTTTCCCTCAGCTAATCATCTGATTGGCAGACAGGGTAAGCAAATCCATTGAGATAACTAGTCCATGCAGATTTTCTGAGCACTCCAACGGCAATGGTAGTAGGTCCTAGTTTAGATCAGCCAAAGTTCCGGTCCTGTTTTGCATGCAGCCCTTCAGCATGAAAACCTTTTGTTTTAGAAGGCTACTTCTAATAACTCAAAAGGAATGACTTTACGCCCTTCCTCAGCTCCGTGGTCAGTTTATTTAGCTGCAGTAGCAGCACAGGTTATGGCTGTTCCACCACAAGTTCTAGGACAGAGACAAAAATGATGGGCTGTCCCAACCATTATTATCTAGCTGAACATCACGCCTAGCTATTATAGCTCCTCTATAGGTAGGAACAAACAGGCAGCCATTGCTCATCCAGGCTAATTTTTTCCCAGCCCTTCTGAAACAACAACAAAGAATGCACCCAATCCAGGGACATGGACTGAAATATACCTGTGTGTCCAGCTACAACTAATGGCGTGCTGCCCTAGATAAACAAGTCACACAAACAGGTTACCAATTAAATGATCTGGCCATAATTCCACCCTCGCAGAACACCAAAAAATCTGACCAGAAGATACAAGAAGCCATGAAAAAATCCTCAGCTGGAAATGCAGGAAAAGTAACACATTTAATACCAAGCTACTATACAGCCACAGATTTCACTGACTGATCTAGAAGCACCTACAGAATGCATAGGTAATATTATCTGTCCTTCAAGTGTGTATGCGTAGAATGCTATAAAAGAGCAAGTTCTACACTGGGTCTGTGGCACAATTTTTGGAATAATCAATTAAGATGTTAGGCAACTTGTGAACTGATTTAGGAACATACAGATCCTTGCCAGTCAGGAAGTGCTTGAGCATTGTTATAAAGGATATTAAAAATTAAAGCATTAATAACTGGAATTCTGTCCCCCCCACCCACCTATGCACTGCATGCATATACCTAGTCTCATATATATCTTTAGAGATGAGCCTTACAAATTAATGGGGAAAATATTTAAAAAGAGAGAAATCAAAAGAGCACATCCAATTTCAAGAATGATGTAATCTGGCGACCAAGTTGTACTCATCCGTGACAAACACATTCTTACCTCTTTGCAATTTGCTGCATATTTAAAAATCAAGTTCCTTGGCAAGGAAGACTCAGCCTGGGTAACTGTAGAACCTTCTGTGCTGGGCTCTGTGAGGTGATCATTTACGATGTATGTACACTTGTCTTCAAATTCAGCCTCTGTCCATTGAGTCATGTCAGCATCCTTCATGTCCATTTTCATTATCAACTTTGTACTTTTCCTCAGCAGTCTGTGATTCAGAATATATGCACTACACCGTGTGGCAGCCTGGAAAAGAAAATCACATTTACTTCCCATTCTCTTCTCAGAATCTCCAATAGTGTGACCTAGAAGGCTATTTGGTGGCATAGCTGAGAACTGTCTTAAATGCACTACACATTGAGCTGCCTTCCCTGAAGCAAAGTTTCAAGAAGTGAGATTGGTAAAAATAATAATCACCAAAACGGGGGAAAAACGTATTAAGTCCGAGGGCACCACCTGTGCATATCTCTTCTAGAGCATTTCCTCAAAATCTGAGTTGGGGGAGGGGGAAATGCAAGAGAGCCCGTAGAAAATCAGCCTTAGAAAACTGTCACAAACAAGGAAAGGAAAAGGAAGGAACTGCTGTCTGCGTCTGAATGAGCTAAAAATGGAAAGTGCAGGCTGGAAAAGCGGAACCCAGCCTTGCCTTTTCCAAATGTGGAAGGCTGAACTTTCCCACCAGCTTCTAACACACAAACAACTTTCAAAAACATCCCCCCTTCCCTGTATTGACATCCTCTGGCATGGAAAGGAGACTGTATCCTGCTAGCATCACTCCAGAAACAGCCTGCTTTAAATAAGAAATACTCACTTGGATCATTTTTTAAAGGTGGGCTACAAAGCTCATAATTCAAATCTCAATTACAGATTCACTAATGTAAAGCTGTATTCTCAGGTTCACTTCCCCATCTACCGCACAGGTATAATGACAATGGGCTACCTAAAAGGGTTGTTGTAAATATTATTATGAGTATAACACGCTTCACTCTCATTCATATAAGTCTACTATAGAGTAGAACAGTAATATGCTGTGAAAAAGTACAGCTCTAAAATGCCATCCTGGCCACTATCAGCCTTACAACTATCCCATCCCAGCAAGAAAACTTGCCCACTGAATAATGTTAGCCAATCATTTTGTTTTGTCTGGCATAAAGTTACTTAATTAAGCTATAGTTTTTTCTATAACAAAGTCCTAAAGCTTGAGTACTAATCTACTAAACCTACCAAGGATTTCCATTTCCACTGGAGTCATATTTCCAATTCAAAGAAATTTGCACAGGGTAACATATTTGGAAGAAAAAGCTTAATTCCACACTTCTTTACTCGGTTTAACTTTTGCAGGTTTAGTAGTTCTTCATGTAGCACTCAAAGGAATGGTAAGAGTGATTCTCCGTACCCTTGTTCACACAATATGAACAAGATTTAACACTTTGTTGGCTAGGGCAGAGAAGTAATACTGAAACTTAATGAACTGGCAGTTGCCATTAGCGGTGAAAGAATTAATCATCATAAAAACAAAGCTCCCTTGAACTTAAGAGAGAGGCTCCAAGGAAAACGTTTTGCCTTTTTCAATGTGATCAGTACTATAGTCATTCAAAAGCATGCTTAAAAATCTGTTTGCCTAGATTATGAAGGAGAAAAAAAGTTGCTTACCAAGGTACAGTCCACAAATATTTCCAGTTGGCAGCCCGGCGTTTCAGGTAAGTCTCACACATATCTACCGAGTAAACATTTCTCCTGTCTTCCACTTGGTTAAAGTAATACTGACTCACACCTAGAGAGTTAACTCTTTTTCTGTTCCTGCCGCCGCCTCCTCCTCCTCCCTCTCTCTCTCTACTGTCAGACAGGTGCTGCCTGCTGCACTTACTGCTTTAGCACTCCAGGGCTGAATGTTAGAATTACTGTGTTAACCAAATAGACTCTTCCTTTCTCCACCCCTATTAGCCACTCATCTCAGATTTACTCAGACTGCCAATAGCAGGGGTGGAGTTATACCTGCAGAGTTTATCCAATGAAACTCTGATCCAGTCACAAGGAATTTTTCCTTTCTGCAAATCACACCAGTACAGATTTTCCTCTTAATACAGATGCCTGTTAACATTTAGCTGCCACTCAGCTTAATTTCCATGTGAAGGGGAAGCATTTGGTGGTGTAAAATATATCACCTTGGTCTTCTAGAAATGCATTACACAGTACACAGTACTACAAGAAAAAGTAGTACTATTACTAGCTTTTTTTTCTTTTTTTCCTTTCCTTTTCCCTTCCCTATTTTTAAATTAGAACACTAACAATAAAACAAAATTTTACTTAAATTTCTTTTAGAAATATTAAACTATATTCTTATCCAGTTTGATATATGATTAATTTTATATATTTTAAAACTTTATTAAATGCTTTCCTATTTTACAGCACTACATGACTGCTTGATAGCAAGACCCATTGCCTTGGGACTTACTCTCTGGAAAGTGGGTATAGGTTTGCCTTAACCTTGTCTGTGCTAGTTTAAAACACCAACAATTTAGAGAGGGAAAGAAATAAAAGTTACTTTCCCCCACCTGTGTGTTTGCAAAGAATGGAGCATACACTACATAAGCTTTTATTAGGCAGGATCACTTAAAGAAAATGCTGCTAATGAAAGAAGTTCTGGTTCAGAGCGATTAAAGGGACATGTGCTCCTGCCATTTCTTTTTCCTTCTGTCCATGTTAGTGTGCTGCCTTGAAGGAAGGACATCCTGTGATGATGGCATACAATGTCCTGTTTGTTTATTACAAAGCACATAGACCTTGCATTCCTATTTCTCATTACCAAACAAACCAGATGCCTAACTTCCTTCAGTGGTCCTGGCCCTTTGCTGAGGAATCCTTCATCTCCCAGCAGTTATGAGGATGCATAGCTCCATTTATAGTCACTCGTAATATTACAAACACCAGTCGGTTCACCGAAGGACAAGTCTCCTACTTTTCCTTTTTACATCACATCAGCAGACATCTTATCATGCCTTTCCTCTTACGTAGGCAGAAACTTGTTTTGACTTGTCATAAAAATACAGAAACACAAGAACCAGTTTATTCAGGGATTTATATTATTCATAGAAATGATTACTCTCTTCATTCTGTGAAGTGAATAATTATTCTCTCTGACACATATGCCACTCCATCACCCTCCTGAGGTTCAGGAGAAGAAGGTGAAAGGGATTATTTGTCATTCTAGGTGACACGGTACTGAGAATAGTACATATCTGTGTAAAGACCTTTGGCATCTTCTAATTGAGAAGTGCTCATACTGTTGGACATAAGTAGGACAACAGCGCCAAACAAGTGTCCTGGCTTAACTGTTACTTGCATGTAATTCCACAAGAGAGGTGGTGAGGGCATCACGCTGACGGGTATAAAGGTAATTGGATATATAGTAGGAGGAAACATTCATCTAAAGCAAAGAAATCCTACAACCTTGACTAGAGTAATTAACTGATGCTGAGGAAGCATCAGAGGACAACATTGAGGCTGCTTAAAAACTTACTCTGCATGGACAGAATAGTTTGTGGCTTCTGCATATGTTGCCAACCAACTACTCTACCACTTGCAATTGGGAAGTTGAGCTGTATCACACGGCTGGAAGTTACAGAGGTCCTCTCCTTGTTCCCAGTATAAATTAATAAATTTGTAGGAACAAATCATGTGGATCAAGTGACTGACATAGTCACTTCCCACAGCAAAATAACCAGTCTGCGGTAGAGGGAACCTATATATTGGATAGTCAAGATGTCCTTGACATCAGAAGTAACCATGTCACTCAACTTATGTGACACACTTTGTTAAGCTTAGGAAGGAGCCCTTAGAGAGGCAGTCAATATACTACAAGGTGACATAAATGGCCCCGAGTCACCTCACATGGGATGGAAAGACAATGCAGCTAATCATACTGATGCTGACTCTTTCTCCCCACATATATATCAGGACTTAGTCTCACTTAGACATGAATATGTCCTAGAGCTTTGCAGATCCCTGAAAATGTTGAAATAGAAGTGAAGCAACATTTTGTAAAATGATTAACACACTGCTGTTCAATACAGAAATTAACTCCATTTACAACCAAATACCAAAATTATAGGGGAAAAGCATTAGTGGTTATTTTTCATGTGAACAACTATTCTGCATCCATTTAATGTAAATAACTACAGGGGTTTCAGGAATAAATGCTGCTGGCTTAGAGTTGCTGACTTGCTGACTGTACCACTGCTTACTACAGCTGCAGTGCTTAGTGAGGTTGGAAAAGATATGGAGCCCTTGGTTTGAATCTTTGCTCAGTCACAAAGCTTATGGGTAATCTTTGCCAGGTACTCTCTGCCAACCTAACCCTACTTCACAGAGTTATTGTGAGGACAAATCATAGAAAGGGGGGAAGTTGTATAGGTCAGGTAGAGTCCCTTGGAGCAAAAGTGGAATATGAAATAAATGGGTATATTCTGGCTACTTTAGGAATGAAAGCAAAAGGCAGGACCTATCTGGTGCTGCAGTAAAAACATAAGTGAGATATAACTTTCCCTCTCTCTTTCCATCCTAATAATTCTGAGCACTAGTCTTTGGTACATAATAGGAGTTCCAAGAACTGCAAAGCACACTGTGGTTCTTCAGAAAGCAGACCAGTATTCTAACAGCACTTCTCCAAGGCCTCTTATTAATCATTACGATTCACTCAGTTGCAGTTCTGGAGCAGGATTGGTATTTTAAGAAAGGGCCTTTAAATACCCTGTTCTGCTGCTGCTGCAATTTTTTATGATGCTGTGATGGTTCTAGTCTTTGCTAATGGTTTTATTCTGCAAACATTTTTATTTTTTTGTTTTAATGCCTGTACCGTATGTTTTAATGCTGAAGTTACTAAAATAAATATTCCCAACTAAATGAAGCAAAGATGTTGCTTTGCAGACTCATAGGAGAGATGTTGAATTGTGGTGGCAAATATGAAGGATTTTTTTGCCCTTTGCACCAACTTCTTAAATGTTTGCATATTTATAGGCACTCTCTCTCTCTCTCACGTGCACGCCTGTGTGAATATTCAAATCTCTCTAGAAATGTGTTAACTGACTGGCAGTTTTTTGTTTTTGCATAGGTTTCTCATATAGCAGTAACTGTTCTCATCCGGAATTTGCAGTCTCAGTGTTGTTCATTTCAGAAAAAAGACTTTTTAATCATGTTTTTATTTCCCCCTCCCCGCTCACAGAAAATCTCAACTACCGTATTAGTCAGCGTTTCTCAGACAGGTCTCTTTGCATGCAGCCGCTCTCTCTTTCCCTCTCTACAGCAGTTCTCAGCCCAGCGGCAAATCATGAATGGCTCTAACAGCGCTGACGTCAGAAACTCTCTCCCACCCTCACCCCACTTCCTTTGATGCTATCGCCACTTGAGCTCAACAGTAAGCTGACGCTACTCATAGCTTCAGCAGCAGCAGCTGTTACTTCTTTTTTTTCTTTTTCATTTTCTTTATGCCTGTGCAAGGACGTCGTTTTTAAAAAGGGAAGGAAGGAGAAATGGTGCAATGAATCTGAGAAACTGCCTTCAACAGATGAAACTTTCTTTAACATCATGTAGGGATGTTAAAGTGCACCGGAGTCTAAGTTTGTTTTTTGTTTTTTAAGAGCACAGCCATGTTCATATCCTTCCCCTCCTTACACAAGATGAGGGAACGACTGACCACTTCAATAACTGCAAGAAATCCTTCTATTTTTCACTTCCTCTGTCCTTATGGGTGTAAAGATTTCAAAGCAACTGACTAAGATGCTTAACAAAGAGTATACAGGCTTCTTTGGGCTTGTTTGTTCACAATGTTTTATGCTTCTGAAACAAATACTGATGAAAAAAAATCTGCTCAAATTAAAAATGTTTCATCTTCATTATTGCACATCATGACAGC